AGGGGGCCTGCCAAACGCCTCTGGCACAAGTAGCCCCCAAAAGCAACCGGGCACCAAGCAGGCAGCTGAGGCTGCGATGTTTTAGCTTCTGAAAGGGTGAGGAGGGGCCTTTTGCTTTGTGTTATGGAAGGATGGGTACTAAGACTCAGCAATACCCTGAACCAGCAGAAAATGGAAACTTGGCTGTACAGTTACGGCTGACCCTGGGATGATGTTGCCCGTCCGGCAGAAGGATGTGTCAAGATGCAGAGACTGCCTCCCCCTCCCCCTCCCACCCTGCCACTGCTTCAGGCCCTGACACATTACCACCCCTGTATTTGGAGTATCTTGAAAAAAAACAGATTCACACTGCCCAGGCAGTTTATCAAGAGAAGGACATCCCCCCGTCGCCCCACCGTATTCCTTGCTTCACACATAGTGACAAGCAGAAAGCCAAAGCGGGTACCTGAGCAGCCAAAACAGAGACTGAGCACAAGGGAAGAGGTTTCAGGAAACGCACCCAGGATTTCCCACCCCGTTCAAATGGGAGGGCCTTGCCAAGCTCCCCGTCCCGATCCCAAGGACCTGTCACTGTGTGTGTCTGTGCCTGTTGGTGCAGGAGACCTACGTGAGCTTCACCGGGAAGCCTCCAGCCTGCCTTCAGTGCTCACAAACATGCCTGCACACGCTGGCTGCTAGCAGCACGGGGATCCCCAAGCCTCTACTCCCTATGCCTCAGTCCCACTGGCTTCCATGGTCTGCAGGTCATGAAGGAGAAGTGGGAGAGAAGAGTGCCCCGAGCACGGTTGCTAGCACCAGTGCCAGCCGTGGTGGGGTTTGGGTTTTATCGGGGGATGCCATCAGTGTGAGGCAAGCAAAGGCAGTCACAGAGTGGAAGGGGTTGGAAGGGATCTCTAGAGATCATCTAGTCCAACCCCCCTGCCAGAGCAGGATCACCCAAAGTAGATGACACAGGAACAAGTCCAGGCAGCTTTGGAAAGACTCCAGGGAAGGAGACTCCACCTGGGCAGTCTATGCCAGTGCTCTGTCACCCTCACAGGGAAGAAGGGTTTCCTCATGTTCAGGTTGCACCTTCTGTTTTCCATTTTATGGCCATTGCCCCTAGTCCTGTCACTGGGCACCCCTGAGAAGAGCCTGGCCCCATCTTCCTGACCCCCTGACACTTTAGATATTGATAAGCATGGATAAGATCCCCCCTCAGCCTCCTCTTTTCCAAGCTGAACAGACCCAGCTCTCAGCCTTTCCTCCTACCAGCACAGCATTGGACAGCAAAACTGGTGGCACTAGATCCACTCATGTTAAAACCTGGTGACAGACTTCCATGGTTTTGTTCCTGTGACCCATCTGCGTGCCGTATCGTAGCTACAGTTTATCCAAATCTGGTCAGAAGTGTTCACCACTGCAGAACCCAAAGGAGCACAGAGTGGGGGGAAAACCTTGTCTTTACCTGACTGCTATCCAGAGTTGTTCAGTGAGATATGGGAATGGCTTGGGATGGCCTCCAGGAGTGGAAGCTGTCAGTATTTCCTCTGCCACAACCAGGGTCTAATTGTTTTTGAGTTGATGATCTCGGAGTGACTGATTAATCATGTGTCTGTTGCTACTGATGATCTTATGAAGCAGTGACCAGATTTAGGCTCTGTGAAGCAGCTATGACGGTGCCTATCACATCTTCAGATTTCTCTGATACTTGGCCCTCGCTGTGCAGATCCAAATATGCTTCTGGCTGCTTTAATAATTTTGTCCTAAGTGCAAACAGACCGCACATATTCCCTCAGTCTGTCCAAAGCAGAAGGGTGGAAATCTGGTAAAATTACTTGGTGTAAAAACATGAAAAACCATCTAAGAATATATTATTTAGAAAAATTTCAAGCAGTCCAGTTTGCAGGCATGGCTGTCACCATGGCATTCCAAGGAGAGGAACTGCATGGGACCGCTGGCTCGTCACGCACATTATGTGTTGTTACGCGTCTGGTCCACCAGCTCTGAGAAGGCACTTGGCGGGTCACTCAGGAGGCTGTTACTTGTATGTGCTGGGGGTCCTCCAACAACGCCTGGAACCCAGGTGGGTCAGCAGAAGGCATTTGCGGTCTCCTAGCTGACTTGGAGTGAGCGAGGATTCAGTCCAGACCGGTCAGGGATACTGGTGATGCAAACATCTGGAAAGGAGGTTTGGTCTTGAAGCTCACCGAAGTCACCCTTTGCTGCTGTGACAACGGGCTGCTTGAACATGCTTTGCAAGCGTGGCGTGACCTGCAGCTCACACAGAGCAGATGTCTCCATTTGCCACACAGGAAGGACAGTAGTGCTGGCGTGCTTGGGCTCTCTCTGGCACGCCTTTCCCATTACCTACTATTTATGCTGCAGTCTGTGTGGTCTCGGAATAGCCAAGAGATGATGGGTTCTGGAAGAAGCTCAGAAACTGGTTTTCATCTACAAAGCTTTGACCAATCTGGCCATGGGCATTTGTTTTACATAAAAACCATCATCCCTGCCTTGCTGTGAGACAAGTCCGTGACAAATGGCATCCAAACACATATTTGTTCACAAAACTGATCTTTCTAATGCCGTCAGCTGCCCCCCTGTCATTCTGTAGCTAGATACTTCACATGATTTAGCACTATGCGTAGTTCAGTCCCACAAAAGTCCCTCACCACAAAAGCAAGCTTCTCCAGACTTTGAAAGCTGCTACCTTGCAGATGATGCTGTCTCCTACAGACACGGGTTCGCTGCTTTTCCAAGATGAGTAGGCAGAGTTTGGGAATGTAGAACACAATAAACGTGCAGCTGTTTTCAGGGACTTTATGTGCTGCATTATTTTTGATGCTCACCTGCTTGCTCAACAGTGAGCTTTACGCTCACTAACAGAAGAATAATAAACCAAGAGGAAACTGCAGAAAACAAGCGATAAAACTGGCCCATGTGAGCATGGAGCCAAGCTTGCTACAGACTGTACAAAGCCTACTATGCACTAAACTATAGTGCATGTACTATAAAAGTATACTTATAATATATAATATACACGTATATACATACAGATACATGCAGACACACATACATACATATGCATTTTAAGTCTGTGCAGACTTGAGCGGAACGGCTCAGATCAGATGTGCACCTAGCCCAGCAGCCTGTCCCCGACTGCAGCAGTAGCACATGCTTACTGGAAAGGGAGAAAACCAGTGTGAAGCATAAAGCAAAGTTTCCTCCACTGTCCCAGATTCCACCTAAGGCTTACACACTCCCCAAGCAGCAGATGGTATCGCTGCCTTTGGACTCGATAGTCCACATGTCTGACAACTGGCTTTTGAACCGTTCCTCCTCCTGCTGCCCAAAAAGGGCCACAGCAGTGACCTGCAGAGCTTGCTCCTGTGTTGTGTGTCACTGTTTGTCTGTACACCTCAAAATTTCAGCTGTTGGCAAAGCCTGTTCCCCTTTCGCTTTCTCTGTCTGATCTGTCTTCCGCTACTTCAGCGTACCTCATTTCTCTTCATGCCAAAAAACCCCCAAACAAGCCAACCCTAAAAGATGGATTCTGCTTTTTGACTTTTTCTAGTTTTGCTCTGCCCATCAGTGAAGTTCTGCTGGTACCAATGTAAACAGGACTGAATCAGGAGTCTGGACCATGAAAGGATAAGACTGGAAGGTCTGTTGTGACTCCTCCCACCCCAGACTCCTGATGCTGGAGTTTCTCCCAATACTCTATGCCACCTCTGGTTCAGGTCCCTCTCTTCCATTTTTCTTTTTTTCTTCTTTCCCATAATGCTAATTACAAATGCTAAATATATATATTTTTTTTTCCCATAATGCTAAAGTCACTGACAGAGCCTAGTAACAACAGCTTCCCACTGGATGTTTCTTACCAGTTTGTTCTTCTACGTCCATCACCTGGCATTACTTCTCTGCAGCACTGGGAGCAATCAGAACTTTAGTTTTTTGGGTTAGTATCCACATCCAGTGCTGCAAAGTACTGCTTGTCACAAGAAGTGACATTGACATCTCTTTTATTTTTTAAAATACTGATAAAAATCAAATTCCTTTCTTATAATGAAAGTAGCGCTGGGGCAAGGAAGTAGCCTCTCCATCATGGGCTGTG